TTAGCAAAATGTAAAGCTCTCTCGAGCTGCTGTTCTACAATCCAGTTAACTATGATTCCACCAAGTAGTGTACGCTGTTCAAATGTCAAATGCAAGAATAATACATTTGATTCATTATCATTTAACCACATTTGTTGAAGAACAGATATCAAAATTGTTGGTACAATTCGAGATACTAAACCCATTTTGACGAGAAAATCATTTGTTAGTGTGATGGAATTTACTAATTCGCTCCACAATTGTATGGATTCTTGACGAAAAGAATCAAGAAATTGATTGATTTCTTCCATGGATGGAAACTCTGTTTCATATTCTTCAGTCAAATTAAATTTCTTCCAACTTTCAGTTAAATGTTTCTTAAAGTAATTTGTAATATCACTGAGAGGATTAATTTGAGAATCAGTAGAAGGAAAAATTTCTTTTGGAAATTCTTTTTGTTCATTTGTTATTGGAATACACGTTTTTGATTTAATAAAATAATTCGAATTACGCTGCAAAAATTTTTCTTGTGCACTTTTCAATAATTTTTGATTAATGAGTTTATCTGTAGAATTAAGACGAATTCGATGATGTTTTTCAAATGATTCGAATTCAAATTGTTGAGAACAAACAGACATTTTGATATTCAATGGAATAATAGTGACAGTATCAAAAGAATTTTGAATATTTCGTAAAAACGAACGAAGCTTGTTATTTTCTCGCCAAGATTCTAGTAACCTATTGATTTTATTCGTTTGATTGTTTCGTTGGTGCATCTCCGGAAGATTCTTATTTTCATAAGTACAGTTTTTAATAAAGCAATCTTCAATTTCTCGTAAAACTATATTTCGCTTATAACGACCCATCCTTCCTAGATTGATACGATAAGATAGGAATGAACTTTCTTCAATATTTGTATACTCAGTAAATGAAGGGTATGAGATAGATGCCAATGGTAAAGTTTGTGCTTTCAATATAGATTTAATCATTTGCAAATAAAATGGTTCGCTCGAAAGTTTACTGGAAATATAATGCAGAAAGTTTAGTAACATTTCAAATCGCTCAATATCATCTTTTTTATTATCTTTTTCGACCGTCTTGAGCTTTTCGGCTAATTTAAACAAACCAATCCAAATATTTTTAAGTTGATATTCATCTTTAAGCCATCGAGATAATGGGAAACACCTGAGTTCTTTACTATCTTTCAAATTTACATCTCCATTAACATATAAATGATCTAAAAGGTGAAGAGGACTATAGTTCGTTGAATATGAGCAACTGTCCCAAACTGGTTGATATGATTTTGTTGAGCTTGTGCAACAAATGTCTTTTTCCATCTGTGCAGATAGTCGAGCTATAGGATTGTACGAATCTCGATAGTCCCAATAGAGTTTAGCCAATAATTTTTCGTTATACTTTTTGCTTTTAAAGAGTTTTTGTATTTCATCATTCGAGATGGATGATGAATACATGAAATTCCATTCTTCACTTGTCTCAACTAATTTTTTTACTATCAAATAATAACCGAAATGTTGCATTGAGTATGGTAAACTATTCTCGTTCCAATCGATTTTTATCATGCAAGTTAGATGCTCTGGATAAAAATTAACTTTTGGTGAAATAGTTGCAATTTGAAGAAGAATATTTCGTGTAATTGAATCATAGGGTTGAGTAGACCAACAGCCTGCAGAATGCAACAGTTGAAAACAACGTTCCATGCCAGTCATTCCCATATATTGGTCTGGTAAAGGATGTGATGTCATTGCATGTAACAATGCTAAATAGAGCCAACCTGCTGGACTATCAGTTGGTTGAAGAATACGTAATCGATCATTCAAAATGAAAACAAAATATTCATGAATAAATGATGTTGATGATGATTTTCGTTCTATATTCACAGTTTGATGATCCTCATTCGATTTCTTGATTGCTTGAACTTGTCCAAAAGGAACGATTAATTTTCGACATAGATAGTGACTATTATTTTGCTTGATAATTGCAATTGGTGAAAGAAGAAGACCTGATTTTAAACCTGTCAATGTTCCGAACCATTGATCTTCGTCGATGTACATATCAGAATATTCACGAGAAGTTATTATTTTATTATCACAGTTGTATTTGAAAGCAATGCCTAATCGAGATAAATAAATATGAATAATATTATTCTCTTTTAACATATATACATGAGGTTCGTCGTCGAGACGAATGAAGTATCGTTTAAACAAGTTCTGAAAGAATGATGATGATCGATTAATCAAATATTGTTTATTTTCAGTGTTACACATCATAATATAT